TAAAATGTAAATAATATGTCAAAATTTTACAATAACTAAATAGTTACTTACTTTTTGATTTTCTATTAAAGCCTTTAACAAACTGATAATTATTATTATTCCCTTAAAAATTAATGCATTAATTACATAAAATAATGTCTTTTCTTCTCCTATTTTGATTGATACAAATGTATCTTTTCTGCTTAAATATGTCTCTATACCTTCAAGTTATTCTTTTCACAATTGATTATACCTAAATATTTCCTTTGCAGCTAATTTGATTAATTCTTTCAAGTCTAAAGAGTTTTGATTATTTTTAAAGGTATAATTTTTTTTAATAAATATTCTTGCCAATCTGTTAAAATATAAAAAGAATACAGAGAACATAAACCAAATACAGTTTTCTTTTGAAATGCAGAACAACCTTAACATTTAATAATTACATCAAAATCTTTAATTAATTTTACAAAAGAGGGTAAAATGAATTTTCACGTATTCTTTCTTTTGCTTTATATTTGTAGGAAATTAATTCCTATATATAATAACATATTAGATAAAATAAAAAGGAAACAAGTTCAAACTGATTGATATTTAGCTAATCTGACTAAAATTAACCCTTGCAGTTTTTGCTGATCATTAACATAATTGGTAATGCGTTCTTGATTACGTTGATCTATAGCTTTTTTATTACGATTTAATTGATTCTAACGCTTCTCAACCAATTTATTTATATTATATTGATCTTGTATACTAAATTTACATAATTGTGCAGTTTTACAGATAACTTCCATCATACAATCAAGCCCTTCATTATTATTTATAATAGCTAAAGAATGTCATATTTTATAAAATGCCTAAAAATCAATTCTTTTATCAACAAAACATAAAATTTTTCAGTTGAAGCTTCATTATATATTGTTCAATAATAAGTAATAAGACTTTGCTGTATAGAAATTTTAAAAATTATCAAAAGCATTTTTCAGAATCCTTTAATTTCTGTTTTTGTAAATGATTGTAAAGTAGGGAATTGAAGTTATAGTTTTTTATTCTCTTTATACCAATAAACTCCTTTCCAACAAAGAGTATGATTATTAAGTAGATGTTAGATTAAACCTTCTACTTGAATATAACATAATTCTTCATTTATTGGTATATCTGGATTATTATTTTTTTTTCTCAAACTAGCAGCAAATACATAATCATTAAAGTATTTCATTATATACTGCTCAAAATTGTAATAGCATGTATATTATTTTTTTACTATTGTTAAATAATAATAAAAGTAAATAAAAATATGATAATATTTGACTTATAATAAATATAATAATAATATAAATATAGATTTTTATGAATATTTTTACTTGCGTGTTTGAAGTTTGCATAAATTTCTGCTATAATAGGTATATTAGCTAAGGTTTTGTTTAAATCTAAATCTCTGTCAATGTAAACTTCAAGTAAAAAGTTTAATTCTTCTAATATCAGAGTTATTTGTTCTAAAAAACTAATTAAAATAGCATATTTCATTTGAAAAGAGCCTACATCAAAATTGCCTTTTTGTATTACAATTTTTTCTTTAAAAGTTCTATCTTTTCCTTTTTTAGTAATTATACGAGATTTTTTTACTACATGAAATATAATAATAGCTTTATATCTGTAACCTAATAAATAAGTAAAATTGATAAATAAATTTTTAAATAAATAATTAAGGTTTATTTACGTAAAATTTACTTTCAAGATCTTTTAGATAAATAAATTTTCTATTAGCTTACTTTACATTATGAAAGTGAAACCAAGAGCAGTTAAATCTAATAGTTAAAACCTTTTTTTCTTTGTAATAGTATGAGCTATAGCAGCATTTAATGCTTATTTAACAAATTCTTCAGCTTTTAATATAATGGTTAGAAACATTTGCGATTAGTATTGATAATATGAACTTTTATAACTTTGAGTAGTAATACCTATAACTGCTAATATAGTTTATATTGTATAATGATTTATACTACCCATTAAAGTTGCTGCTGTAACTAAATGTGAAAAATTGATCTCTCTAAATCGATTTGATTATGAATCTATTATATCACATAATTAACAGTCTATATCAATTGTAACATTAAAACTAATACAAGACACATAACAAGATATATTTTAAAAATTAGTATTATAACAATGGCTGTAAGAAATTGAAAATATAAGAGAAAAATATTGTTTTGTACTAATCAATATCATTAATTCTAGATTTTTTTTATCTAAAATATTTTTTACTTTTTCTTTTATCCTTTCAAACTTTTCATTTAAATTACTTCTATTATTCTTTTATCTTGAAATTGATTAATTTTAATTTTTAATCATTTGATATTATGATTAGTATTACAATATGTTGATACATATTCTTCATAACTTATCATAAGTATTTATATAGATTTTAGAGAAAGAATTATTCCATTTTCTTTTAATTTTATTCTATTAACAATTAATTCATCTTCCAACTGCTCAAGTTCATAACTTTTCATTTGAGTTTATGAATAAAAGTTTCTTTTTTAAAAGAAATTGATAAAAAAATTGAAACTAGTATAGAAGACTAAAAATTCAGATTTTGGTAAGAAAAACGATAGAGGAAAACCTTATGAACTGTATTTTGTAAAGCTGCTATAATAGTAGTTTTATTAAATCCTAAAACTGACATAAGTGAAATATTTTTTATATTATATTGCTTCATCATTAAATAAAACCCTAATAATTCCTGATCTTAAGCATTATAAGTAGTAAAAGTAAAGTCTTTTCCAAATTCTTACCAAAAAAACTGCAAAAAATTTCTCTTTTCTTTAATAAAAAGTTTGAAAAAAAACCTACCTAAAAAGGTATATACAGTATAGCTTGGTAATAATGAAACTCATGAGCTTTTGTCAAAAGCATTGTTACATAAGTGTATATAATCAACTGTTACAATTTTTTGGTGAGTTTTTTCAAGTTCATTATAGAAGTTTTTGGTATAATAAATTTTGATAATTCTTTATAAAGTGATAATACTTCAAAATTAAAAGAAAAGTCAATAATAAGCCAACTTTTATTTGTTTTTTTTTGTTTTTTGATAACTTTTATATTTAGAAAAATTTTTTTGAATGAGAAAATTATATCAGTTATATGAGTTTATACGTGGCATATTATCATACATACTTTTTATTAGTATGAAATTGTGAGATAAAAAAACTTGCTTTAATCTGTTTTGATAAGACACATGAATCAAGTTAATATACACAAACTGGATTTTTGAAATCTCATGTGATCAATAAAATTTGCCATTTGATACATATATATTGATTGACATATACTATATCTTTAATAAACTTGATTAAATTCTAAGTTTAAATTAATCAAAACTAATTTATATATTATTATTTATATATTTAAAATAAATATTTAATAAAAAAATTTAATAATTTTTTTTTTAAAACTATTTATTTAAATTAAAAAAAAATTTATTTAAATTTTATATAATAAGATTCTAATATATTTGTAAATTTATTAATATTTAATTTTTATTAAAAATTTTTAAAATTAAATTTTTATATTTTATTAAAAATTAATATTTTTTATTAAATTTACCTGTTAGATAATTTAAAAAATAACCTTTTATTTGATCTTAAGTTTTGATTACATATTAAAAAGTATAAAATGCTAAAATTTGTATATATATAGCTATTATTAATAGTGTATTTATTTATAATTTAT